CAAAATAATTAATGGTCATAACTTTAGCCGTCCTTTTCCCGAAGGAAGTGGCTTGCACTTGGATGATGTCCTTCCGATTCAGAGTGCAATAGATAATTTAGTTAAGGCAAGTTAGATCTGGTCTGTTATGTTACTCAAAACATCAATTGTGTTGACATTTTGCCCTCGGTCCCCTTGTTTACCTACTTAACTAAAATATGGTGCTGGTTTGTTTTTGTCTACAACTAGCATTAACTGCCACTGGAAATCTTGTCATTAAGAAAACAGCAAATCACTGCACATGCATGGAGAGATACATGCAAATGCAATATACAATTTCTATTAACACCATCGACTTAATCCAAGATATTATGCAGCAAATAGCAGAAACAAATTAGAGAAATGACAGGTAACTAGTAAGTACTTTTCCTTGTTCATCTAGATTCTATTAAGTGTTTTGTGCAGCATCTTTTAAACACAATGTTTTTTCAGTAAATGTTCGATTAACGGAATAAGGATCAACCTACATTTTAAACAATCATATTTGATCCTGCTCAAATCAAGCTAGCTTGTTTACAAATCGAGGCAAGCTTGAGGTTGGCAATCAAGGCTCTAATTCATAAGCTTGCAAGTAGCCTGATAATTATAGATGTTCAAATGTGAAAGAACAAATTCATGTCCTTGTTAAGTACTCATAAACAAACAAATCTAAAAATAAAGTAAACAAAATCAGAGACACAATCAAGGGGTCTTTAGAAATAAGCATATGCATCATAAAACAGGCGGGCAAAACTAAAATCAAGAACAACAACCTTATCAGCATGCAAGAAATGAACAGGAGAGGCGTCAAAATTTGATTTGAAGAGAGGGTGGGGACTTCCTCAAGCTTTTGAGCTATTAAATGAGGTTTGAACTAGAGATAATTATTAGTTAGAGGACTTCTTTAGGTCTCGCAGGTTCAAATCCCCCTTGAAATGTTAAATAAATAGATGAAACAGAAGTACTAAATAGCTATTGTTTCTGTTGGAATTATTGTTAGAAATGTGGCATTCAAATCTGCAAAAATGATGAAATGAAACTACCATGAAATGGCAGCAATGAGGCTAAAAATTGACAGAAAATGAAGCTGCGATTTGACAGCAAATATGGCAGCAATTTAGCTGCAAATATGATGGAAATGCAGCTGTCAAATGACAGCAAAAATGTGCAACAAGCTAAGCTACACATGTTGACGAAGATGAGGCTGCAATGAACAGCAAATGAAATGCAAATGCAAATGCACATGGAAGGCTGCAAAGTGGCTGCAGAGTCACAGTAACATGGAGTTGCACAAAATGGCAGCAAATCTTTTGAATTTTGAATGTAATCTCGCTTTAAATGTTTGATAGATTTTCTTGTATTAGGTAAAATAATAGGTGAGAAAAAATTATTTTATATTGTGTTGTTTCTGCTATGAATATAGCAGAATATCAATGAAATTTTTGAGTTGGGATGTTATACTCCTCTCCATTTTTCGTTTATGTTCTTCTTGATTTTCTCTCCATTTCTTTGTTTGAAAAAATCAACAATTTTGACATTTTGTTACTGGTCTCCTGTTATATATGCACTAAAATATCCCAGTTTGGTTTTGTTTGCAACTAGCTTTTATTTAACATAAAACCAAATATTGCATGTGCAATGTTGCATCATTTTAGCATCAACCTTCGGAATGTTAGAAAAAGATAGAATGGACTCACATGTCTAGAACATACGCCATTTTTAATGTCTAATAACTTCAATATTTTAGTCCAATACCACAAAACGAACACAGAAACCATATTCCTCACAACAACCTAATTCATTATCAATCTCTGTGATGGTTTCCCAATCCCTTCAGCCTCACTTTGTTCTCATACCCCTATGTGCCCGGACCACCGGATTCCTATGGTAGACACGGGCAGGTTATTGGGAAGAAATGGTGTGAGAATCACCATAGTCACTGTTGGAATTATAATTAGTAATGTGGCATTCAAACTTGCAAAATGATGAAATGAAACTTCAATGAAATGGTATCAATGAGGCCGAAAATTGACAGAAAATATGGCAGCAATTTAGCTGCAAATGTGATGAAAATGAAGCTGTCAAATGACAGAAAAAATGTGCAGCAAGCTAAGCTGCAAATGTTGATGAAATGAAGTTGCAATGAATAGCAAATGAAATGCAAATGCAAATGAAAATTAAATGAAGGGCAGCAAAGTAGCTGCAAAATCACAGCAAGCATGCAGCAAGTTGTTGTCCTTTACTTGTCTTAGATGTACTTTTATTGTTGCTTTTTAATGTAGAAAAGTTGCTTAGACAAAATCAGAACCTTTTTGAATTGTTTTTAGATTAGTTCTCTCCATTCCATTGGAAAGAAAAAAAAAAAAAAACCAATAGAATGGTTCATGGAAGTGATGCAACCAAGATCAACTGTATCATTTCAGATGGACATCTTCCATGGAGGGTTATTGTCGCTCAGAAGTTCATGTTGGATCAATGACATTAAAGCTGTAATGTTTGCTACAACAACTAGACGGCAAAATGGTGCAGCAAGATGCTGCGTTTATGGCACAAAATGTGTAGCAATAAAGCTGCTTTAATGGAAGAAAGAAAAGTGTAGCAAACTGCTACATTATGGAAGAAAATGAAATCAAATTGAGATGCAAATGCAAATGAAATGCAAATGGAGGTTGCAAATTAGTGAACAAAAGTGCAGCAATTTCAATGTCCTTTTTATGTTAGTTTATGTATTACAATCTTTGATAGATTTTGTAGGAAATATGTAGTCATAAATCATGGCAAGTAAGTAGAGAAACACTGTTCTATGTTGAATTTTCTGTTATAAATGGGCAATAGATGTTAATGGAAATTGGAGTGAGATTTGGAGAGCTTCTCTCTTCCCGATTGGGTGAATGAATTCACCCTTTCATGGCTATGTTAGATATATGTTCTGAGTTCTACTCTTCTCCTACTCTTCTATAAGTCCTCTCCCAACCCTTTCTTCTTACCTCAAAAATCTAACAGTTCAGAATTCCAAGGCTTGGTTTTGATTAGACAAGTTGCCTTACAGCCGTGTGCTCTCAGTGGATAGACATTTCCTAGATTCATGAGAAAGTCTCCAATGAATCGTGACACCAATTCAGGGCTGCAAAAAAATTTGGTCCCTTTGTTATTGTTGAAAATATCA